ATGTTTCACAGCTGGGGTAGGAGACCTGCTCGTGTAAAGTCATCCTGGGACGGGCTTTTTTCATGAACTATATTTCTGGAAGTGAGCCCTTAGCCCAAGGTTTACCATCTGCCAGGAGGGGATTTATCATCTAACATGTCAGGGCACCAGCAGGTCTCTGGCTTTGCCTGCAGCCACAATGAAGATGCTTGAGGACCACTTGTGGGAGAAGGATAAACAAGAAAAACACAGTAAACATGTTTTTTGCAGCCCTGGCAGCCCTTCTTGCATTGCTTGTGTGAAAGCCTTGCTGGGATAAGGAGCAGCATGGCTGGTACAGCTGGAGCACAAGTGAAGAGTCCCAGGCCACGTGTCACAGGAGTGCCCATGAGACTGTGGCTCTGTAGAGGGCTATAAGACACTCTGAGCAGTCATCAATCACAATAATGTCAGCTCAGATACCTGCTATCAAACAGCTTTGTGAGGCACTACCATCATATGCCTGCTTGCTTTAGCAGTGCTGATATTTATCATTAATATGGAATGAATATGAATAATTTATATGAATATTAAATGTGTATTATTTATGTGTGTTTTACTTGACGTGTTCTGAATATACTTCAAACTTAGTATCGCATCCGGTTGTCTGAATGCATTTCAAAAAAAGACAGCCATTATATTTGCTATATTATGTAAACCTAACCCATTCATGCACAAGAACTAGTAGAAACTGTGAGGCTTGCACTACTCTGGGTTATTTTTTTGCAGTTCTGCCAAACACTTCATGAGAATACTCAGTCCTTTGTGTGGGTCTCACTCATTTACCAGTATGTTAGGGTCATAAATACGAAAGTGAATATCAGTCTCTTATTTAGCAAGGTCACTTTAGTCAAGATGTTTTCCTAAAAAATCTTATTATCTGATAATTCATTATCCAGCTATTCCAAGTAATGAGCTTTCAGCAGTGCTGGGAGCATGCTGGTAATACTTGTGGCGCTGAGAAGCTGGGTGCATGAGAGCCTGAGGCAGGGAAGCAGCTGCTGGGGGTCAGCCAGAGCCCAGTTTGGTGGATGCCAGCAGGACACAAAGTCTCCCTCAACAGCTGCAGAACTGGCAGAGGCCAGGGATCAGGCCTAAACAAGTCTGACTCGCATTTCTCATCATAGCTGGGGGGCACCACAGCTGAAAACAACAGAACTGTCAAGGTGAGGCAACTCCAGAAGTTACAATTATGTTGTGAAAAGCAGGGGCAAACCAACTGTGCTTGGTGTGCCCCTGGGGCAGAGGAAGCTGTCACTTGAATGAAATTATGTTGCTTCCAGGCTGATACTGGAGATGTCTTGAGAAAGGAGATTTCTGTGTGTTCCCAGAGTTGGAAAAGATTTTTCTTTCTTTGAAGGGGGTTATTCTCATCAGTCAGTCTCCTGGGGCAAGGATTCAGTGTGCTGTACTTTTCCCAGAGGAAACCGAAGTGCTCTAAGAGGTGACCCACAGCACAGAACTGCAGCCTGCCAGCTGAGCAGGGCATGTAGGTATAACCAAGGCAGGTAATGGGCACAGTGCTGTGGGAACGTGAGGATTCCATGAATCACAGAATATTCTGAGTTGGAAGGGGTCCACAAGGGTCATCAAGCCTTAAGGGAATGGGTCTGGAGTTCTGGAAATGCATTTCTTCTCTTCAGTCTGTAAGGTGAGAGTGCATCAGTGGAGAAGGAGGACAGAAGGTGCAAAAGCCATTCTACAGAGAAAGAAGCATTATTGGTAATGGCTTATGGAGAGCTGCTGTATAACTGTGTTGAAGAATTGTTTAGGTGTCACAAACCTAATTCACAGAATGAGAAGAAAAAGGCAATGAAAAGGATTATTGAGTTCAACCAGCATGGTGTAAGAACACATACTGATCTAATACCTAAACATCTGTCAGATGTTAATCAAACCTGTTTCTGAAGTTTCTAACTGTGAAGATCTAAAAAACCTCCCCAGGCAATATTTCAGGTCTTCCCTGAGCCTCCTTTTCTCCCAGCTAAACACCCCCAGCTCCCTCAGCCACTCCTCACAGGACTTGTGCCCCAGACCCTTCACCAGCTCCTTTGCCCTTCTCTGGACTTGCTCCAGCACCTCAATGTCCTTCTTGTAGTGAGGGGCCCAGAGCTGGACGCAGCACTTGAGGTGTGACCTCACCAGGGCTGAGTGCAGGGTGATTAAAACTTATACAAGGCCTTTCTAAAAGCCCTCTGATTCCACTGACAGCATTGAGAGAATCAGTGGCTGCAAGTAGAACTGTGATTAAATAACAAGTCCTCTTCTCAACTCTTAAAGGAAATACACACTCCAAGCCAGTGCAGCAAATGTTCTCTAGCAGAAGTATTGAATGAGCAAGCATGTGCAAATTTTTCTTTCTCCAAGCTGAAACCCTAATGAAAGAATTTTATAATTTGTACCAGACATTCAAATTCTTTTTTTTTTTTGTATGTTTTCATACTCTTTAGCTCTTTATCTGTGTTTTTCCAAATTAATTTTAAGAACATTATTTTGAATTTACTCTCACTTATTTGTTCTATCAATATTTATTTTTCTTTTCAATCAAGTAGTTTCTTCTCCTTCTAATTTTCATAATTTTGATTAAAACTGTGCTATTTTCTCGCAAAGTTCTTATGTTTTCTCTGCTCCAAAGAGGAAACTCCATTTTTCACTGCATCATAACATTTTTTTTATGTTTTTCAGTACCTCACAGTGATAATATTACATTTGGCTCTTTTCCCCTCACTCTTTCTCATTCTGTTTTTAATCTGTATTTCACACTTGAATGCTGTCTTTCCTACATGGAGTATTGCACTGAGAAAATAAAGCTTTTGAAGCTATTTATATATGTTCAAACCAATCAGCTTGAAACTTGTTGTATTAAGGTAGGAAAGAAAAGGGGAAACTGCGAAAGAAAAAAAAAAAAGCATATTTTCATACAACAAATTTCCTCACAAGCTTGAGCTGCCATATGAGCTGGCTTGTGGACAAACATCGCCTGACAATGTGTCCTGGGTGTGGTCTGACACTTTTTTCCAAACTGGGGATTTCATGTCACTCACTTTTTCCAAAAGCTATCGTCTGCTGCACCCTTCTGGACACTGCCAGCACCACCCAGTTCTCCGGAAACCTCATGCAACGTGAAGTGGGATTACAACATAGTTTTCATCAGCAGTGATGTGATTTTGTCTGTTGCTATTAGAACACGGGCATAAAAATTGCCCTGCTTTTGATTGTTGTAAGATTTAAATTAAATCCAAGAGAAAAGACGTCTCCGTGCTATTTGCTAGCAGATCTGGAGTGGTTTCAGACTTCTGCACCCATAGTCTGTGGTATTTGCTACCTGAGGACAGAGCAGGTAGTGCTGTCAATGATAGAAAAAGCGAGGCTTGGCTCCTCGTAGTTCCTGTCCCTGCTCATCATGTCCCCCTGCATCTCTTGGTCACCCCACTTCTCTGCTGTATTAAACTGGGAAATCTTCAGGTCCTGCATGCCCTTCTACCCACCTCCCCCAAATGGTCCTCTTGTCCTGCTTCCTCCCATTCATGTCCCCATAATGTCTCTGTGAGTTGCTCCTGGCTTCCATGAGGACAGCCTGTCTCCTCCACAGCCATGTGTCCCCAGGATTCATCCATGCATGAGCTGACAGGCTGGAGGATACAGACCTGCTGCTTGGCCAAGCAGAAATGAGTGGTGATTGCTTCCACCACCAGTGCATGTGTGGAAATTTTGGGTTCTTTTCTCTGCTTGGCCACCAGTTTTCTGAAGCTTTGTAGGAACATCCCTGTAGGAATATCCTTCTGCCAGATGTGATACAGGTTGAGTGATACACTCAAACACTGCCTGTGTAGGTTGGGATGCAGAGATGTGTTGGCATATAGACACAGCTCAGCACACAGCAGTCACAACCCAAGATTTGTTTTCCTACTAGTGTCACTCCTGCCTGTTCTCACTACAGGATACACATTGGCTGCCCACTTAGAGCCCTCTGCAGTCTGACAAAGCTGAGGCAAAATGCCCACAAAAGGGACACTTCCCCACTGCCTCCTCAGCAGCCCAGGGTGCATTTCCCACCTGTGCCCTGGAGGCATGTACCTCTTGAGCACTGCCTTTAGCCCAAGTGATTCCCAGCACAGAGGGAATATGCAGGATTCCCATCTTCCTCCCAGCTGTCATTCTCATCTGCCCTCCCAATCCCAGCTAAAAGCTACCCTGACTGGCCAGGCAAACCAGTTGAAACTCCTGAAGGCACAGGGCTGGGAATGCCTGGCTTGCCTTAGCTGAGCCCCATGGGGTTGCCAGATGTGACAGATGTTGCTGAAAGGCATGGGACACCCTGCATACACCCTAAGGTCTGGGCAGACTTGAGATATCAGTGGCTTTGCCTGGAGGTCAAAGGCACATCATACACTGAACCAAAGTGAATGATGCCTCACAAGCAATGAACAACAAAAAACTAAACCAGAAACGGAAAAAAAGCTGAGGGAAGTCATTTTCTTCCCTCCAGAAATGGCATTTGAGGCTGTTAAAAACAAGTCTGATACTGAGTTAGCATTATCAGTGTCTCTTTGGGGGACTGACTTACACAGAAGCATAAATCAGCAGCAGTTCCAATCTAAAGCTGTCCATATCTCTGGCTGGAAATACTATTGGGACCTAAAGCTGAGCTTGGGACTATATAGAATTAGGTGTGTGAATTGTCTTGTTCCCATACTTTCTACCACGATGATCCTCATCTTTACTTTAGCGAAGTGATGCCAAGCAATCTGAGGAAAAAAAAAAAAAAAACAACAAAACCACATCCCAGAAAAGAAGAAAATTCCTTTACATTTCCCAGTATCCAGTAGAAATAATTGAGCCTGATTTGGTAATCCATCCAATTCAAGGTTGTTTTGATAGCCACACCATGGCAAGGGGGGTACAGCACAGGAGAATGATTAACTTAATCCTCCTGCCTTGTTTGTTTGATGCTGCCTCATTCCAGTGTGAGTCAATAAAACTTTGTGCACCAACACACACAACTTCCAGCACCCGCCAGATGGGCCAAAATGGGGATTTGCAAAGCTGCCTTTCTCTTTCTTTTCTTGCTCAGCTCAGGTAAGAGTCCTTTGCCTTCTGCTTGCCTAGATGAGACTGGGCCCAAACACTAGCATGCTCCATGTGATGAAGGTAGGTCCCTAAGTCAGTGTATCACTTGTTTCCTGGAAAATGATGGATTTGGGTCCTGCTGGTCAGAAAGAGCTGCTGTTGAATGAAGAGAGAGCTGTGGTTGCCCCAGGGTTGTGCTCATTAGCAACACCAGAAGAGCAGCAGCCTTGGTGTCTGCATGGGCAGCTAATGGCCCCAGGCAAATATTTCCCACATCCAGGGGTGGGGGCAGCCTTGGGAAGCAGCCTCTCAAAGGCTTGTACAAAACCCACAGCAATCAGTGAGAACTTATCTCTAATTTCAGCAGGCTTTGGATCAAATGCTAAAGGTAAAGCTGTGTTTACTGCCAAGCATTGTTAAGCACAGTGATACTGATTTTCATCCTTTGTGATAGGGGTTTTAAAGCTTTGAGATGGAATATTTAAAACAAGATGAAAAATGAACAGGCTCCTTTTTATTCCAGCAATTTTGCATCTTCTGTTGTCAAACACTTCCAATAAAATGTTCTCCCTTGTTTTCCTGAGGGCAGTAGGCAGAAATTTACTCCCCAGTAACCTAGATCACCTTTCTCAGGAGTATGTCCAGAGTTCTTTCTTACAACTCCAAAAGAAGATAGGTTTTCCACTGATGGTAATATATGCATTTCAAACTTATCTACAAATTCTGTAAATAAATATTCTATGTGTAGTATTTACTTCAATCAGATTTTAATCAGATACCATACTCTCTTGTACTTTGAAATTACATATAATTGCATGGCACTTAAATGACTTTTTAAAAATACTGATAAATACATATCAGTTTTTTATGACTTTTTAATAGTTCAGACACTTAAGGTCAGAATACCAGGGACTGTCACTGTATGATTGTACCAGGTTATAAAAGACAACTGAGAAAACAGGAGATTTTATTTGTTTTTTGTTATCTGAGCAAGCTGACTTGCTCAAAAGTGATGGTCCACAACTTCCTTGAAGTCAATTTTTATGTCTTCTGGGTTAGTATTGGTCAAATCTGGAAAGATGCATATGGAAATGAAGAAATTTGTTTGTTCGCATATATTTTACTATTCTGTTCAATTATCCTTTGAAATATCTGGGTTTGTATAGATTTTAGTCAGACTAATATATTCCCTGATGCATTTAAAATCTTTAATATTCTTTTCTTAAGTTCGCACTTTGCAGTGGTTTTCAGGCAAGCAGCATCACCTTTTCTGTTATCTAAGTTTCAGCCAATCTATGTTGCCTTTTAGCTTACGCATGTCATCCCAATTCCCATGTGTTCATTCTTAATCCAAACTTAGATTAAGAACGCCACTGAAAAGGAATAGTATTCAAAGTAAAGCTCTTTGAAGAAACTCTTTGAAGAGTTTTAAGATTATTTTTTAAAGTTTGGAAAGGAGCATTTTCTTTTTCTAATCTCCTGGAAGAGTGGTCTCAGTTAACTTAGGAAAAAGTTCAGGAAAGGAAGCACTTGTTTATTTAATCCATCAGGAGAAATTAGTAGGCTAGGCTATTGGTGCTGTAACAGTGGGACTAGATATGGGAAGCCTCAGCGTCAGGGATTTCTTAAGACATTCAGGTTTTATGGCATTGAGCCAACCCTGCAAGGTGACACAGAAAATGCCCTCAGGCAATTACTAATCTTGCTTTCATTAGTGGCCCAAATATCTTTTATTTTGTGTGAATCTGTGTCATATGGAGGTAGGTGATGAATGGCCCATATGTCATGGGAATTATTAACACTGGAGTGATGTTGCAGTGAATTCAGCCCTAGTACGAGTGCATTAATGAAAGATTGGCAATGTCACCTGTGAGCATGCTGTACAAAATTATGAACTTCCTGCACCTGTCAGTAATAATCTAGATTGAAAATATTAAATAATTAAACCATATCACTTGTGCAACTTGTTGTAACCTGATGCTGGAGATGGAAATAAACTCTTGTAGAAATTAGGAACAGAAACATAGAATCTTTATAGACATAAAAAGTAAAAGAAAATCAATTAGATCGTAAACTCCATTGTGAGCAACAGTATTTTAGAGGTGTGTTGGATGTATTAGCAGGTACATAATATAAGTCTTATTAAGCTGCAGCTTTCAGATTTAATTATACTAAATTATTTACTAATTCAAAGTCTTGGGTTAATTTGTTGCAACAGAGATGTAGCCTCATGATTTCATTACCAAGTCTGCTCAACCCATTACAATAAAAAAATGGAGAGCATTTTAAAAGGCTGTATAGTAACTTTGTGATTGAGGTTTCTTGCTCTAGGGCAGGATATCTTGGGACAAACAACGAGGCAGTGACCAGTGAAGCTGCAGGGATTGCACGATCCGTATGACAGGTCATAATCTCCCACCCACCTAATTGATGCTTCTCCAAAACCTTGATGGTGGGTAGCACTTCCCTTCACCTTTCTCTTATTGGTGTTGACAGCACTTAGTCTCTCTCTCTGCTCCCTCTCACTCTTGTTTCACATTTTTTGCTTTTAGCTTCAAACTCATGCATTACTCTAATCAGAACTGCCCATACAGCTTTCTTCTGCCTCCTTTTTCCCATGACATGTTGCAGTCATTCAGCTGTGATTCTGTCAAGAGATAGAAATTACCTCAGAGTTTGTCATCTTTTACCCAGAATTATCCAAATAAATTGTATCTTCACCTGTCCGAGCTACATGGAAAATGGGGTTGGAATTCAGAAATCTTCTTTACTGCAGAATTCTCATTTGTAATGTCTGATTCCTTTCTGTCCCTTCTAGTGAAAGGAGATATACTGGATGACTACTTAAGAACAGATGGTGTTTGGGTACTTACTCGAAACAAACAGTTTTACAGGACAAATAATGAGAAAGAATGTGCGGACAAATGTGAAGCTGAAAGAAATTTTACCTGCAGGTAATTTCTATTGAATGTTAAAACTGTGACATTGTGGGTGTCTGCACATCAATGATATGTTCCTACCTTTGCTCAGAACCAACATCCCCTTTCTGCTGCAGCTCTGCCTTCAGCAGTGTCTCCCATGCCTTTAGCTTGTGACTTATCTCCACCCATAAATTACCACAAGATCAAGTAAAGAACAGATTCACGATTTACTACTCATTTTATAGTAAATGTTCAAGTTCCCATTCTTATCCAGCACTACGTGGAGAAGTGCTTGAGGCTCTTTAGCTGGATGCTGCTTTGTTTCACAAGAGTGCAAGGTTTCTAATCCATTGTAGGGACAGAGGCTAACCTGAGCAGCTAGGATGCTGTTGATAATGTTTTGCCAATTCAGTTTCTTGTTCCCCACACAATAATTTATTCATGTATTCATATATCCTGAAGAGTGAGCCACTTGAGAGGAGTAGCTAATGCTAACCTCTTACTCAGTGTATAAAACATTGAGTGCAGTATCTGAAGGATAAGAATGAATGTAAGACAGCGATAGCAAATTAATAATTTATTTAGAAAATATCATGTGTTAGAAAAATAATTATGGGTGTTTCCTTTAATGAAACATATGGGTTCAATAATTTGAATTGAATTTAAAATATTGCTCCCTGTGTCAATATTGCTTCCTTCTCAATTTCAACAGGGCTTTCCTATTCACCAGGAAAAAGCTACAGTGTTTAACACTGGCTGAAAATTCTAAAATGACAGTGACGTTCACCAGCACGGACACGGTTCTTTATGAGAAGAGAAGTATGTGTACAGTAAGATGTTACATATTTACTCATCAAGCCTATTCTAATGGCATCCTTCTGTTCTCTGCTGCAGTGCTGGAGAAAATTCCTGTATAGGGCAGAAAACTAATAGAGAATTTGGGGGTCAAACAGGAAGAAGCCATGTTACTAAACATGCTGTTCAAGAAGGATTAAATACCAAGGACTAGATCCATGGTGGTCTCCATGTGCCATTTGAACTGGGAAGTTAATTGTTGTCTTCCTCCCAGACCCAGTTATATAGTCTTCACCTCCTCTCCCTGGGTGTCAGATGTGTCCAGCTCTATTATTTAGACAGGCTAAAATAATTTAGGAGGAACCCTTTTTTTTTTTTTTCTAGCAGATTGGTCTTGATCTAACATTTCAATTTTATATTTTGAGGTTTGAAGAGATTCTTATTGTGCAACCAAGGAAGGGGAAAAGAAAGGGGAAATCAAGATCACTGCTCTCAACAACTGGAGATTTTTCAGCATCTGTTGACAATAAAAGAACTATCAACATGATTTGCATTCTCTGTCTTGGAATCCCACTAGAAAAATACCTAGGAGAGTCTGAGGCTAAGATGAATCAAAAGTTTGGGGACCACTTATGTGACAAGTGTATTTTGATAACTAAGTATTTTCTGGCTTAAAGGGATAGCTGGATGGCACCCACACTGCAAATGTGCTTATGAACAGTGCCACTCCAAGAACCTCCAGCTGCTGGTGAAAGACATTCCTATTTATCCCAGCATCATGACAGTTTCAGCATGCATTTTTTTTTGCATATCAAAAACTTGATGTAGCTGATCTCTTGATCAGCTTGATCTTGATTTTATGCCTTTATAACAATGCTTGAGAAAATTTTCTCTTTAGAGGCCTAGTAGCTGTAACTAATTTATTTTTAAATATGTTGTAGAATGTTTGTAGGCACAAGAGGTCCAAAGCATGAGTAAAACAGGGTTCCTCATGTACAGATGAGTTTCATTTATATCTGCAGATTTTCAGTACCAGGAGATGAATGTTGTAACGTCACTGAATTGACAAATTTGATTCCATTTCAGTTTACCTTATGCAGTGTAAAAGAGGGATTGGGACAGACTACAGAGGAACAGAAGCCAAGACTCAGAGGGGTATTCCATGCCAGAAGTGGACAGAAAAAACACCCCACAAACCAAAGTATGTCCTTATTTACATTTCTTTTTGTTCTGAACCCTTTCCAAGTTTCCTCATCTTCATATATATACACAGATTTATAGTGCAAGTTATCAAATCCTGTTGTCAGATGACTTTTAAAAACAGCTTTATCTTCATCTGGCGTGTTACTTTTGACTCTACCAGCAGAGACTGCAATGATCTGGATAAGGAAATGACCCATTGACAACTAGAGAAGTTGTGTCTAAATGTGAGGTGTCTAAAGCAGATTAAATGCTCCTTCTCTCAACATGAGGAGGATTTTTGCTGTTGGTACCAGTGAGGTCAAAATTACTCTCCTCTGCATAAAGTGATATCTGTCCAACTCTAGGCCCCCTTACCTGTCATAGAGAGAGTCAAAAAAACAAAACAAAAAAAAAGAAAAAAAGAGGAAAAGTATCCAAGGGCCAAATGGACCTTGCCAAGGTAGAATCTTCTCAGGGCTGGCTGCCATTGGGCTCACTGAAGCAAGTGGGGAAGCAGAGGTCCTGTTTTCTCTGATCTATGTTGAAGTTTTATTTTAAAAATTATTTTCTTGTTATTGTAATTAAATACACTTGGATACACTTGTTCAGATGATTTAAAAATAATTTATTCTTCTCTGGTAAGATTACCATAGGAAAAAGGCTCACATCACTTGCTTCAGATCTCTGAGACCTGGCTGAGTGCAACAGTTGTGTTTGGTGAATAATCTCTAGAAATACACAACTTTTAAATTAGCTCCATTAAGACAAACACATGACAGAGCCACAGGTTGTAGTGAGCTGGTTAAAGCAACTGGATGCACATATTAAAGACAGCAATTGTCCTTTCAGACTGTCATCATCCTTACAGGTTGTAACCTCACTTCTTACTGGCAACTGGGGCTAGGGAGAAAGCTACTAATAATTGTAGTTAGGAATAATTTTTCAGTTTTCATTTATGGCTTACGATGGGAAATCTGTTTCATTTTTACTGGGAATGAATAAAATTCACAGCTAGCTGAGCAGGTTAGATATTTCCCTTCTCCACCACTGAAGTTCTGGTATTAAAATAGAATTCTAATACTATTACAGTTATACACCTGAGAGATACCCCAATGCAGGGTTGGAAGAAAATTACTGCCGAAACCCTGATGCAGATGAAAGAGGACCCTGGTGTTACACAACAGATCCTGCCATGAGATTTGATTACTGTGCCATCCCAGAGTGTGAGGGCCAGGTCATGCACACTGGAGAAGGTATACTTACTTTTCAGAGATGTTCAAGTAGGTAATGTTACTCCTGCTACTTTTTTGTGCTTTATTTTCACAGACTTTTTTCAAATTAGAGTTTAAATCAAGATGAACTTAAGAAGTTCTCAACAGAGAGGTTTTCCTACCTGGCTTGAGTTATCAAAGTTATTTTGTAAATATGGAAGAACTAAAATTTTTTAATCAGTTGCAGTTATTGTTTGCTTTACCTTCATCTGTCTTGTTACTCTTGACTCTACTGGCAGAGAACTGCAATGATCTGGATAAGGACTATATTGCTCTTACACCAGTAATTTATTTAATTGTAACAAGGGTAAAGACTGACCAAAGTTCTGTGTAACACACTGAACTCCCATTGCTAACAGCACATACAGATCCATGACAAATTCCTTCCTGCAAATGAAACATACTCCTGAAGTGCTGTTAATTTGACCAGGCTGTAATGCACAGTTTTCTGAATTCCTTTCATTGTTAGCTGGAGCAAACCCCACTTGTCCTTTCAGCATAATCTGCCATGAGCAGGCTGGTGTGTTCCTCACTTTGTTTTCCTTCTGCCTAGGACCTACAGGGGAGTGCATGCAGTGTAACGGCGAGGATTACCACGGAGAAGTTTCGAGAACAGAGTCTGGACTTGAGTGCCAACGCTGGGATGCCCAAGAGCCTCATATGCATGGATTTATCCTGAAACAGTGAGTGACACTCAGCACCAAATTCATTCCCACAGAGCCTGGGAAAGCCTGCCTGCAGACAGCCTCATTGCTACACGTGGCCACTGCTGGCTCATGAGTTTATCTTTCATTTTCAATGCACAGCTATCCAGAAAAGGATCTGAAGATGAATTATTGCCGCAATCCTGATGGTGAACTTCGGCCCTGGTGTTTCACTACCAACCCAAATAAACGCTGGGAATATTGCAACATTCCTCGTTGCAGTGAGTCTGATTTCCTGAGATCACTCCAGAGGGTAGCTCATTAAAATTATGCAGGGAGGGGAAAGACAAGAAACCACAGTTCTGAGTAACCTGGAGGTATCTCTGTGAAGCAGGGAAAGTGCACATTAATAAGCACAATCACACATTCAACTTCTATTAGGTAAAACCATGTATGGTCAGTGAGGACGAAGGTGTCACAAAGTGATATATGGCCAAAGATGTTATGGGAAACCATAATTTGCCCTTAACCACTGTACTCTTCCACTCACCTGGGAGGCAAGACATTAGGGTTAAATCAGGTGGTAGTTTACTGCTGATCTGCTAACTCACGGAAATGATCTAAATTACCATGTGGCCATACTGTGATATTTTACCTGGACCTGATCTGCTCAGCCAGCACTGCCTTCTCCTTAGCAAGGGGTGAATCCTGAGAAACAAGCTCAGTCCTCAGGAGAAAAACCTGACTTATCAGCAAGCTAGCTTAACCCATTAAGCTGAGCACAGTAATTCTGGATATTTCCAAGGCACTGAATTAAGAAGTAACATTTCCAATTGTAGAAGTGGATTGTACTTTGAGAAAAAAAATTATGGGTGTTTTTTTTCTCTCTAGAGATTGACTGCCAGTGCTGCAAGCAGTGGTGTGTGTTCGCTAGATGCAGTTCTCTTCAGCATGCTTAATTACAGATGGCAGAATAACTCTTTATAGACTTTTGTATGATAAATTGTGACAGTTACCAATGCATTTCCATCCTGTGCTTAAAATTTAAAGTTTAAGGAACATACCAAACTTTTAGGGTCATACTCATGTCCTTGGGAAATTCTGTATATTATAGGTATGTGCTGTAAATTCATCTTCCATTTGCCCTCTGCAGTTTCTATGCCTCTGATCATTACTCTTATTTTCTTTGCTGTTCCCCACATGGCAGATCATTTCTCTTTCTTTCTTTTTTCACTATTCCTTCTGTCCCTCTTCCCCAACTCACTGACTCAAGAGGCTCAGTTCTGAAGGCTGCTCTGCTTTCTCTCACAATTTCTTCTTGGTCCTTTCTGCTCTTCCACGCTACCTATGTGCATTATGTTACTGTACTCCATCTCACTTGGGTTTACAGGACTGTAGGAAGCTACTTACTGCCTTTCCTGTTCTGCTCGCAGGGGACAGTAGGCACAGAGTCTGGCCCAACCCAGCAAAGTTATTTACTGGCTGCTGTAAAAGGGCAGACACAGGACATCCATCTGGCAGTCTAGAGGCCCATAAAAATGTCCTCTTTGATTTTGACATGGCTTTTAACCAGTGTAACCTCTGCTGAAAGAAAAAAAAAAAAAAAGAAATGCATCTTCAACAGTACAGAAACAAATGGGTTTATATGTTTTTGAAAGCACTACTTACCAGTGTTTTTCTGCTCTCCCCTTCCCTCCCCTTCCCTCTCCTTTTCTTTTTTTTCTTTTCCTGTTACAGCTACACCCCCACCAGTCTCTGGCCCAGACTCCCAGTGTCTTTCAGGGAAAGGTGAAGACTATCGAGGAAGGATAGCCACCACGGAATCAGGAAATGCCTGCCAACACTGGAACACACAGTTTCCTCACAAACATGGCTGGATCCCTGACAGATATCCCTGCAAGTACGCTGAGTCTCATCATTCTAACAAATACCAAAGAACAGATATTATTCCCTGTCAATCCAGATGCAAAGGCAAGAGGAGGACAGGTTTTCCTCATTTATGTTGTTAAGTTGTAATTCTCGCTGTTTGTCAGTGCTCTTTACTTCTGTTCAGGTCTTGCTCTTCAATTTTTTCTGCCTCTCTGTTTATTCTCATGTTATTTTCTCACTTTTCTCCTCCACACCCCACATCAGAGCTATAAGTAGTTTGCTATTTTATGTTAAAAATCCCCTTGGCTGTGTTTTGGTACATTTTCAATGCATTACTTTTCTGAATAGTGATGCTCCAATAGGTCTGAGCACAAACTGGGTTTGCAGAGCATTACCAATGTGCAGAAATTTCTGACCTGGCTTATAGTAGTTAGATCCTGTGAGTTTTCCTAGGGAGGTGAAACCCTGTCCACTTTCACAGGGCAGAGACCAGCGTGCACCTGTGCTCCTATCTACACACTTCCAGTCTTGCCTGGTTCTTGCTGTAATCTCCTTGACCTCAACAACATGAGCAGAAAGTGTAAGCATTAGAAAAATTATTCTTATATCTTCAGCATTTAGATTGTGAAGTTGAAGACCATTGATTAGTCCCAAAGGAGTGATGCATGTGTTGATCTCCAAAAAGGATAAACACACCACTGAGTTGAATTCTGCATGCAGTAGTTGTTAATAGTCATGCACACAACTCTTCTGGATTTCTGTGAGTAAAACCAGTGTTCCTATTTCCTGTTTTAAGGGGCTTACAGGAAAACTACTGTAGAAACCCTGATGGAGAGAAGAAGCCTTGGTGCTACACCACCAACAGCAGCATTAGATGGGAATATTGCACAATTCCTCCCTGTGACAGGACAGAACAAGGGATTGCTGGTATGAATAACGGACTGCACTTGAGATAAGGACTTTGAAACAGTGGAAGATTTCTTGTTTTGTATTGTAAATGTATTGAATCTTATTTTTCGGTCACTTTGTCACTCTTAATGTTTGTCTGCCTGGCATGTTTCAAAATCTGCCAAATATTAAACTTTCAGTGGTTAGGGAAATACAGTGAAAGATGCAAATCACGAGCTGATTCAACAGAAGAATTACAGGATGAAAGATATTTATGTTTTTATATTCCTTTCTTCCCAAAGGTAGGCCAATTGTAGCAGGTACATTGAAAAATAATAAGGTTTAAAGAGATGAAAAACTGCTAAATAAAATAAACTCCTATTTTTGGAAATTAGCCACAAATGAGAGGACAAGAGCTTTCAATGTAATTAAAAATCACATTGAAACATTCATTCATTTAAGCACAAAATTAACAAGAAAGTCTTATCAGAAGGATAATAGAGAGACTCAAGTTTAACATAATGTCTGTTTGAGAAATATCATGGGCAAAATCACCAGTATCTAGTCTTTGAGGATTTTGCATGAGAACTTCCTTATCTTTAATTCTGACGTGTTCACTTATGCCAAATGAAACTAACTGGTGAACCCTTAAACATCTAACATAAGATGATAAAACTGTGAAAGTTTTCCCAGTATCTTAGGAAATGCCCTTCTGCTGCAGGTGTGATGATTTCACTGGATACTGTCTGCATAAATCAGTCATTCATTTTTGTCATCCTGTGTGTTTGAGGCTTTCTTGTGCCTGCTCAGTAAGAACATTAAAATTACGATGCCAAAGACCAGTTTCTGTTGTTCGCCGCAGATGCGCCCGTACAAGTTCCCCTAACAGAGGAGTGCTACCGAGGCAGAGGCCAGAGTTACCGTGGCACAACATCTGTCACTGCATCAGGAAAGAAGTGCCAGGCCTGGAGCTCCATGTTCCCACACAGGCATATAAAAACCCCAGACAAATTCCCAGACGCGTACGTTCATCTCACCATTCTCGCTTTCTCTGGCAATAACTATTGCTGGTTGTATTATCTTTGCACAGCTATGCTTTAAAACACTGCTGGGGAATATATTGATAAAAGAGAACTTTTCTAAGATACAGAAATGTTTTCTGTTAGTCTCACTTGTAAGAATTGTGTTTTCTTGTTATCTAAATTCTGAGTAAAATACAGCTGTGTCCCTTACTCTTCAATCTGATCTCCTGCAAACAGCACCAGGAGACTTGCGTCCAGAGACAAGGCATCTACTGGAATATGTGTTTTGTTTACAAATTTGAGACTTTTTGTTGTGGCCTTTCTAATGATTTCATCTGGGGAGGACACAGTATTTATGATACAAAGCATGCAGTCAGATATGTCATGCTTAGAAATACCAGCCAAGTGTTCTTTGCAGTTGGAACTGGGCACCCAGAATTGCATGCACTGAAATTTCCCCTTGATTTATTTTCTTCAGATTAATAAAACTGGACCAGGAATGACTGGAGCAGTGACAAGCTAATCAAAATCACTAATCTGCCAGTTTTTACTAAGAGCAGGAGAGCAACAGGATTACAATTGCAGGAGAAACTGTGAAGAAATGCATCATGCTTAGTGGGTCATAAGCAGGAAGGCTGATACTTTTCTATTTTTCTTTTTCCCTTTTTTTGCTGTCACCCTAAATAATTTGAAAATTTCACTTATATTTTGGCATCAAAAAACTGGAAAATCCTCAGAGGGGATGATATCTTTCAAAAACATTTTAAAATATTTAAACCAAGCTGGGAAAATGTGGAATTCATGTGTTCTGTCATATTCACAGAAAAAGCATTTCAGTTCTTTTTTATTCTGAGACTGTGCTGTGATTCAGAACGGGAAAATACTGCAACTCTGCAAATTATTGAAAAGAGAAATTCCACTCCCCCATGCCCCAGCAAGCACAGACACAGGAGTGGTGTCACTGAAGTCAGTTAGGAATGGGGTTTTGGGGGATTAAGAGGGGACCAATTGCATAGGCATTTGTTTCCTGATGTGAACATGAGAAGGAACCTTTTGGCATTTAAAAAATTTTGGAAAAGCCTAGGTTCTTCCCAATACCATAAATCCTCCTGCATATTTATTACTAATTCGTACATTTTCACAATTGTGTATGCTACTTGTAAATTAAAATGATTGCCATAGGAGGTGATTATTTAGGTACTCAGTACATTGAAACATTACAGCCAGAGTATAAGCCAGCAGTTGAATTGTTTCCTTATGCATAAATATATTAAAGACTCCAATGATCATGCAATAATCAAAATACAAATCTTCACTATCATCACAACCACAGATGTGTTTCCTGGTAGTAGGGTATCTGGCCATAAGTAAAACCAACAATAAATCTATTTATTTGTACATAGTAGATGTACATAGGACATCTTTTTGTCATGATTTTCCTGTGCTTCCTTTCAGTCTTACGCAGCACAACTGTTGACTTTATTTGTGCAGGGATTTGAGGGACAACTATTGTAGAAACCCAGATGGTGACAGCAGCCCGTGGTGTTTCACCACTGACCCCAACACTTTATGGGAGTACTGCAATCTCAAGAGGTGTGATGACCATACACAGGAGCCTGCACCTAATGCCTCCCCTGGAATGATGGAGCACCATATTGGCCCAGCTACACCCAACACATCTGGTAACAGCTGGCTATAAGTGTCACCCCCTGTAGAGTCTGTGGGTAAAGGAAATAGCAACCTATCAAAATTATTCTTGAGTGTCATGCTTTAACCACAGCCAGAAACTAAGTACCATGCAGCTGCTCACTCATCACCCCAGCCCTTCTTTGGTGGGAAGGAGGATGTAAAAACAAGTAAGACTCATGAGATAAGAATGGTTTAATAATTGAAACAAAATTATGTACAATAACTACAATAATAATAGCAGCAATAATAATATTAATTGTAATGAAAATGTGAGAGAGGGATAAAACCCAATGAACAAAAGTGATGCACAATACAACTGCTGACCAATATCTGTGGACCTGATTTTCTGAGTCTGAGAGAGTTTTTCAGTCTGTCAGTGTCTGATCTGTTCCCAAAGGAAAGTCTCTTGAGAACATTTTTCTCTCAAGGACCATTTTTGTAAATAACTTGGTTTTCTCAGAACAATTCTGTACAGCTGTGCTGAGTGTGTCTTCTCTCGTTCCACCAATGGGACACCTTTACTAATCATGTTAAACCTGTATCAGAACACCTTATAAAAGGGGCTGAAAAATTCTGAAATAAATCCTTCTGATGATCCTCTTTCTGCCTGTTGAATTGAATCCACGCTCCTCATTTTGTGTCCAACACAAAATGTCCATCCTGTCCCTGAGCAGCAATTAGTGGCTCTGTCCAGTGTATGTAATAGCATGTTGTTCAATGGGATGGAATATCCCTGTGGCCAGGCCAGGCCAGCTGTCCTGGCCGTGCCTCTGCCCAGCTTCTTGTGCCCTTCCTCTGGTGATACAGAGAAGGGGAAACTGAAAAGTCCTTGAGTTAGATCTAGTAAGCACTACATAGCAACAACCAAAATATCAGTGTTATAATCGTTACACTGGTATCAAACCTAAAACATGGTGCTGTACCAGCTACTAAGAAGAAAATTAACTCTACTTAAGCCAAAACCAGGACCCTGACTAGGCCTGTAATGTAACAGTTACATCCCTCCTGCGGTTTTCAGATTTGTACTGCTGCATTTTGCAGCAAGTGCTCTTTAGTTAGTCCTGTATGTCCTGCAGCCTATGTCATTTTGCAGTGCACTCTGAAGGATGTCTTTTTCATTTAGGTGAACAAAAGGAAAACTGACATTTCTAGTATTTCTTTAGCTGTGTGCTGTTGAAATATGTGACTGTTATTATTATAAGAATTTTGCTTCTGTTGTGCTTTATGGTTTCAGGAAGGTGACCTTAGCTTGCATTGTTCACAGGAGGCTTTGTTTTGTAAAATTTGATAAATGAGGTTTCTCTCTGTCCTGTTTTGTTAATTCCTTAATTAATAGTCCACATTGGTCAAAGTGGTATGACATTTCTTCAAGTATTGTGGAGCTTTGCATGAGTTACTTATTTCATAAAGGAAGGAGGCAGGTTTGAAAAAAAGACACATTCCTAAATTGAGTTGTGTGCTCTTCTTCCATGCAGCAGAAAAGAAGTACCTGTAGCAATGCCCTTGGAAGCAAAAGTTACTCCTTCAGTCTACTGGGCTGCTGAAATATGCTTCTCTCATAAAAGTGCTTACTGATACCAATTTAGCAAAAACTTTGATGCCTTTCCAGATATTTGCAATATGTTACAGAAAATGTTTAGCTGGAATTTCCTTGATATGAATATATAATCACACTGAATTTATGAATGGAAGTGTTAAGAATCATTATTTTTGTGGTGAATTTACTTCGGGAAGCATAGATAGTTGTGGGGTAACAGTAATCTAATTTTGACTATAAGCAGGTAAATGCATATAATTTAGACTCTCAAGGCTCAGAAATAGTTTCAGAAGCTCAACATTTCTACATGTAGCCTAAGAACTGAGGTATACACAGCACTTTTTTCTTAACTCAGGCAACTAGAATAGCCAGAAAACTGTGTAAAGTAGTATCTTACTCATATTAGCCCAGTCTTGTGAATATCCCACTCACCTGAAGCAAAGCCTGTAATATGCTGCCTGGACATAGAGACTGTGGGCAGTGTGTTCATTGATAGAGTCAAAAATCGTCAGACATAGGTATTTGTATCCTGCTATACCTGCATTTTAAGGAACATCATTAAAACAGTTAAATTCTTTTTGGCCAGATCAAGTAGATTGGGGATAGTGGAAAATTAGGAAAGTTCTGGTTTTATGTGTGTAATTGACCTGACAGTGGTCTGGGGATGTACTCACATCCATGGCTGGTGGATCTTCAGACCAAGAGCATGGCCTGGATGCTTAGAAACAAGGAGTTTTTCCACCCCAATTCTTTTACTCCAGAAGGTCAAATGAAACACTTTCTCTCTCTACAGTCCTTGTGTCAGTCACATTTGAAAGCCTTTGAAGCTACAATATTATTCCTGACAGTATTTTGCTGTTTGCATGCTTAGTGTCCCCATTACTGGAGGAGTTCCTTTATACTCTCTTTTCCTCCCTAGGCTGAAGTTGGACAACCTCTGGAGTGCCAAGAGAAAAACAGATTTGTCCAATATGGAGTCACCTCTTGGGAACTGGCCTGTACCCAGCCATCAAAGCCTGGTTTTGTCCGAATTCCTGCTTTTGTTTCTTGGGTCAAGAATGCTGCGGCTTCCCGCTGAATCTGGATGCAGGCTAATTCTTCTGGAAAGCAGTCCCTGTGTCAGAAACAACATTCCAAGTATGGCTTTATGACTGGTTTTAAAAATTATGTAATAATTCGTAGGAATCCTAAATAAATACCACTACTGGCTGAGCCTAAGTAGCTATTGCAAAGCAACAGCAAATTGCCATTGTCTGTCAGAGTACTCGTGTCGTACCTGCATGAGTCAGCCATGGCTGCATGTCACAGCAGCTGTAAGGCTCCTACTTCACCCCTGTTACACCCCAAATACTTAAATCCAGGAATTAAATTGAAGGTTCCTTTACAATAGTTGGCACAAAGAGAAATTCCAACCAGATACTCTGAAGAGAGGAAAAATCACACAGGAGATTAGTGACAAAAACATAGAAAATAAAGGGACTTTATTTTAAAAGGATTAAATATGACACCATATTCAACATAAAACAATTTGTTATTATAAGCATTACTATAATTATTATATAATTATTAAATAATTATAATTATTGCATTATATATATAAATTATATAATTATAAGCATTACTTAGCATTAATTTACTACTTAGCATTTACTTAGCCCATTTCACCTAGAAACCTTTAAACCTATGACAGCTTATGTTACCCACAAAGTTCCATGAGAAGAGAATTAGGATTAAAAAGAAAGAGACTGAGAAAGACAAAAGAGATTTAGAAAAACACATGTAGAGTTACCACCTCCTAGGATTCCGTTGTGGGTGAGATAGGAACTCCAGGAAGCTGGCAGGGTCAGGACCATGTGCTTGCCTTGTGCTCCATCTATTAAGCTCCCATGGGCCTTTCCCCTAAGGAGAGACTTCCAGTCACTTTGCCAGTCAGGTTAGCACTGCACCCCCATGTGATTGATTGATTGATTGATTGACAGCTCAGCCAGGGCTGAGGAGGTCTGAGGACAGGGCAGGGCACCACCTCACCTAGCAGATCATAAGAAGGCATTCCAAGCACCCCAAAAAATGGCTCACAACACTAAACTTATCCAGTCTCTGACAACGATCCTGCATCTCAAGACATCAACCAGGACCACCACACTGGGACCTTTCCTCTTTTGATCTAATCAGGGTACCTTTCCTCTCCTTTTTAAAGGAAAGAAGGGGAAAGCACATTGGAACTCATATAATGGGCAATTGCTATACCAGTAAAACCTAATTAACATCTTTTTATGTAGTTCATTCACCCCACCATCCCATTAGTCCAAAAATGAGAGGATGATCAGGCTTCAGGATGAGTCCATGCAGCAGTCTTTCAGCACCTAAAGAGTCCAACAGATCATCCATGATTCCCTGTGCTCCTTCAGGCAACATTTTCCTACTTTGAGGTTTAGCATTCTCTAACATTATAGATAATTTACACAACTATTTGTGGTACTTGGTTGACATGTAAGCTGAGTTCCAAAAAAAGCTTGGCAAATTCAGTGTAGGCCACCTTGCCTTTTGGACTCCACAAACTTACATGTCCAGGAATCCCTATGACCCAAATAAATACCACATGTCCCAGATCATGGGACCACATGTCCCAGATCCCCCCACCAAGCAGGTTTCAGGGAGATACCCAGAACCTTACTCAGGGAGAGAGAAAAGGTCGGTGGACATCATGGGAAACAACATACAGTACAATTCTACTAACTAAAATGATCTGGATTTCCTTAGGGGTGGGAGTCAAATAACACTCATTCATTCCAATCTCTTCAGCATATCATTTTCAGGGTCATGATTTCAGACCATAAGTCTTTTTAATTTAACCAAACTCTGTGGTTTTCCAACCAAAATCTTTCTTTCAATCAGTCCCTGTCTACAGCTGGAAAGAATCAGGAGCTGGGTTAGCACGGCCTCTAGTGATTGATTGATTGATTGATTGACAGCTCAGCCAGGCTGGGGGTCTATGGGCAGGCCACTGTCTCACCAGAAGCAAGGCCAGACCCATCCTCTACTACACATGCACCAGCGCTGGTTTGAGACACTCAGCTTATCCAGTCTCTGACAACCATCCCGTATCTCAAGACAATAGACCAGAACCACTGCACTGGGACCTTGCCTCTCCTGCTCCAATCTAGTAGACAGAGAAGAAAGAAAAGAAGAGGAAAACATGCTGAAATTCCTGTAAGGGGCAGCTGCTATTCATGAATCTAGTTAATATGCCTTTATGTAGTTCATTCCCCCCAGTACCTCTTGGGTCCAAAAACTGCAGGACAATCAGGCTCCAGAGAGGTCTAGGTTTGGAAAGACAGGTATCTGCTAAGGAAGGCAGATATTTCCCCTGAAATGGAAAAATTCCCCTCCCCTCCAAATTATTATAATATTGAAATTAAGGCGCTCTCAGGCAAAGATATGGGAATAGGAATAACAGTTCTCTACTAGGAAAATTAAAATAAAAATATAGTAGTACAAAACGAAACAAACCCCACTGACAGAGTCAGAATACAACCTGACATGCTGCTGGTCAGGCTGTTGGTAGCACTCTGATTAAATGCTGGCTGTAGTGCTCCTGCAGTGACAGATGTGATTCTATTGAAGCAGTGATCATGTAGATTACTACAGGGTGTAGTTTTCCTCTAAAGGTCCAGTAGTGGTGTAGATGTGTTCAGTCTTCCTCTGGGAATCCAGTGGAGAAAGGTTTACTGTGGTGTTCCAAGTCTCATGGAAGAGGTAAAGAACACTGCCCCACCTGGTGTTAACAGATATACACAATTAATATATACTTCTGATTACAGCTTGCATTGTAACCCAAGACAGGGGGGAAGTTCATGCAGCAATCTTTCAGCACCCAAGGAGTCAAGTAGATCATCCATGATTTCCAGTGCGTTCTTGGAGGTGACACTTTCCTTCTGTGAAGTTTAACATTATTTAATATTAGATAAATTGCACAAATATTTTTTGATACTTGAATTTGTAAGCTAGGGGTGGTTCTGAGAGGTTTCATTTATCTTGAGCCTGGTCTTTAAATTTTGGAATGAATTACACTAGTTTGGGAGAAGGCTGACAAGGTATCAGCTCCTTCTTGGGCACTGTTAAGAGGCCACCACTTCCCACACACTCCCAGTACTTTTATCATATATTGGAGCAGGGAGAGAGACCTGTTTCCCCCCCTTAACAAGTTTAAACTTTTCATGCAACAGTATGAATCAGTATGCTTTAGAGACTAGAGTCCTTTACCATGTGCTTTCTCTTCAGAAAAGTTTATTTCGTTTCCCCAGTAAAATTTTCAAAAAGTCCCTGTCCTTATAACTTAACTAATTCTATTGCAGGGTGTGTGGTATTATCACCTTCACCTCTGTGGTTTGATATGCTAATTCCTTAATAAAAGGGCAGGGCTAAGTGTGAGTGTCCAAGGGCACATAATGATTATAAAATCAATACCAATAAATCAACCACATGCTAAAAAAATTCCTATGTGCTGTTTGAATGAAAATGGCTTGGAGAGTGGCTATGCACACCTAAAATGCTACTCTGCATAGAAGCTTTGACCACCCCAAGCTGGTCAGTAACCGGTCAAGCTTCACATGGCACCTCAGAGTGAGAGACACTGTCTGAGTAATAATGGCAAAGTGACAACGCTTCATGGCAGAAGGCAGTAGTGGTGCCCCTTCACATCTGTAATATTTGCTTCCAATGCCATCCATGACTCATCCTGGTGGCAATGTGATTGTTCAAACCCAAACTGAGGTCCTGAAGCCAGGGAAATCACAGAAGTTGCAGCAGAAAGGGCACCCAGGTACGTGCAGTCTCAGAGTTGCTGCACTGTGCTAGAAGGAGAGGCAGGCAGGCTGCACAGGACTCAGGAGCTGCAGCACAAAACAACAAAATGGGAGCACGTTAGCACCAAGAAGTAGCAATCATCAGCTCTAGTAGCTGGCTGGATAATCAGAGGTAACTCTTCATGTGGAAGAACTTAGTAAATATTTCATTTTGAAGCATTGTTGACTCCCCGAGCGTGGCGGTCTTGGGAAGTGTTGCACGTGCTTTTTGCCATGGGTTCTGGATTTGCAAACATCTGTAAATAACTGAAGGCACAAACCTGAGTCACCACTTAACCACATTACAAATTTTAGATTTAACATTCTAATTTAGGAAACCCACAGGGTTATTGTGGATTTTATGCAGTGTAAATGCTTCTTTTACTATGTACTTGCCTGGGAACAGAAGTTGTCAACACAAAAAAGCTAGAAAGCCGTGTTTCATTTTTGTTCCTCCTACTCTTGTAATTCTCTTTTTTGTTTATAAAGTCTTCCACTAATGTATTTTATTTGGAAGCTTAATAACTGAGACAGCACAGTGGGAAAAAGTCTTTAACTAGAGGCTTCTGAGAGGCAGAACAAAGTAGCAGAAGGATGAATATCAGTCTTTCTTGATTGGAAGCAAATAAAATCCTGGTGACAGTCTCCCTGCCACTGCTCTGCCACTCCTGGAAGCAAGAATAGTCCTTAGCAAAGTACATGTTTTTGTTGAAAATGTAAAAGGCAAAATACTGAGCATAGTGTATAATATATCAGTGATTCACCTTCTTCTTTCATGTATGTATTCTGTTTTCCATACTGCTGCTCTTCTCACTTTCCCCCCACCCAATACTCCTTAGGCTTTGAACCCTCATTTACTCAAACTGACAAATTCCTACAAAGAAGGAGCCTTTATCCAGGACTATTTTACTAACCACAAGGAAAACTAAATCTAGGTACCTGAACTAAAACATAGCATTGATTTCTGTATAAAATGAAAAACTGGACTTTTCCTTTATGTTTTTGCTGCTGCAAATCACGGGTGCACCTGGAATACAGCCAAGTGAAATACAGGTTGCAAAGGACACCTGGAGGTGAGCTCATCCCAACACCTGCTCAGAACAGGTTCAGGTATGTCAGATTGCTCACTGCCTTGTTCCTGTCAAATTTGGAATGTCCCCAAGGATGGAAATCACACATCCTCTCTGGAGCCCTGTCCCAGAGCCCTTCTCCCTCATCGGTGGAGAAGTCATTTCTCCTGGTATCTAACCCCAACTCCTCTTGTTACTCATACACCACATGGCCCAGTCCCCCAGCAGCTTGGTGGCCCTACACCTCCAAGGCTGGGCCCAGCCCTGTCTGTCCCCTACCAGCAAGGCCAGAAGTGGCCCTGGCAATCCAGATGTAATAAATGGAATTGATTCGTGCTAATTAAATTGTAACTACTTGAAAAGTTGTTATTATTAGACGCAATCAAAAAAAAATCAGTGTTACAAGGCAGATGTAGCCCTTTACAGATGTTACATGTTGAAATTCAGGTGCAGGATGTAGTTTGGAAGATAGGTGGTGTCTCAAGACTAAAACAGCCTTGAGATGGACAAAATTCGAACAACTTTAGGCATTGGGCCTAAAAACCAGTAAATATAAGACTAATTAATAGACTTACATAACACAACACTTAGTATGCACGTACAAACCTGAAACGTTATCCAGAGGACAACGAGGAAGAGGAGAAGCCTTCGCCAAGAGACCACCAAAAGAAGGCTGGAGACCCCCTAACAACAAGTGAAGCGTGTGCCGTGAAGAAAAGCGATGTAAAGTCAGAAAAATCGGAAATAGGAGGAAACTTACGGGAAACATTAATGAGTATGTATCAGCATACAGTATATCAGTTTAGCTTGAAGTGCTCTGTTTTGTACGTGAGGCAGGGTGGGGAACCCACTCTGTACCCCGGTCTTTTTTGTATGTGAGGTGGGGTGATAAGCCCCCTCTGTACCCCGGCTGGTTTTGCTTATGCTTTAATCATACTTAATTACTGGCAGATTATATATATAAATTGTAATTTTTTGCTATATTATATTCTTTTACTAAACTGTATTCTTCTATACCAAGTTACTATACAATTTATTAAGTTGTTTTCATTTTTGATTAAACTGCCATTAACGCAAGGGACCTAGCTGTCAAAATTCTAATTTCATTTATAACACAGGTGTGGTCCCAGGAGCTCTGGAGAGAGGGAAGAATCCCTTTCCTCAGGCTGAAGCTGCCGCTGCAGGGCTCTGCAGGGGCTGTATAAGGATGTTTTGTGAATTCATGACATTTTCCTGGGGAGGCGGTGCTGCCACAGCCCGAGGGTCGGGGGGCAGGCTCCGCTTTCCGTGCGTGTGGCCTCCCGGCCGTGCCGGAGCGCAGCGCTGCGCTTTGCCGGGCTCGGGCAATAGGTGGCACTGATGGACGATGTCGTCTGCGCTGTCCCCGAGAAAACGTCACTGCGGAAGGGAAAGAGGCGGAGGAGAAGCCGGGATCGTGTCCGCACTCGCAGAGCGGCCGGGCAAGGGCGAGCAGACAGACATGTGGCGGGAGATGCTTCCGAGCGCACGGTCAGACCTCCTCGGCAAGGGGAGCAGGGGACCCGGGCTGGGCTCGGGGGGATGGCAGAAAGCCCCGGGAGGGTCCCCGGGTCATCGGAGAGAGCGGGAGCAGGCAGCTGAGTTCCCCTGAGCAGGAGTGCGGAGGAGGTGTTGAAGGGCTACGCCTTGTTCTGTGCCGCCTGTGGGACGGCTTGGTGAGCAGCGCAGGGTTTGTGCCTGTGCTGCCGGGATACAGCTCCCAGCTGTGCTCACCGACCTCCGGGATGTAAGCGCAGGGGAATATTCCTACCTGTTGCATACGCTGTTTGTTCTTAGGAGCCTTGTTCTTCCATGCCTGGAAGTGATTTAAGGAAATGAAATCACGCGTAGGCTGTCTCAGCGAGTGTTACCAAATTGCCTTGGAGGCTACTGGGGTATCCCATACAGGCTCCGGGTTCTGCACTTCAGACAGCAGAGGGAAACAATTCTAGGTGATAGCAAACACCCAGTGGACTTGGTTTTTCATGGATTAACAATTTTTTTTTTTCTTTTTTCTGGCATTTGTATTGCTTTGTTTTCTCAAACTACTGTAATTGTTGTACCCGAGAGCTCCCTCCTGTAGCTGCGTTCCACAAGGCAGAGTAACACGGCTTGCTTCTGTTGCCAGGTTTCAGATTGTGCTTTTGTACCAGAAAAAGGTTTAAAGGGAACCGAGGAGGATACTACCTTTTTCTAGCAAGCAGGGGAGAACTAGGGGCTTGCTATCCAGTCAGGAGTAGCTAGAAGTGTCAAAGGTACAGAAGTTCATTATACTCTGAGCAGGGAAGGGTCCCACAAGCTTCTGCTGGTGCCAGCCCGGCAGCACGACCAGCACCACGTGGCTGGCAGCAGAATAGCCCTGCAGTTCAGAATTGCCCTGCTGAGGCTGTGCACCTATTGCAACACAAGAGTCACAGTAAACGATTTTTCTGGCTGAAGTTACAGCCAAATAAAGATTTATTTTTTTTTTTATTTTTTTTTTTTTTTTTTTTTTTTTTTTTTTTTTTGGCTGAAGCTGCTCACATGGTGAAACACTGCAAGGACACCTATTCAGTTGTTTACTGCCTTTTATCTAAATTGTGCTGAAGGAGGGAATATTATGGAAACAAATTATCTAGCACAAAACACTGTCTCTTTGTACCGAGGCAGTGCTTTGTGAGCACCTCTCTGCCCATACTATCCAAAGAGTAGGAAAAATAATGGCAGATGTTGCCAGGTGGCTAAACAGCTTGTGATCACATCCCTGGGCAATGAGTGGTGCTGGCAGGACACATTCTTTGCACCATCCGCAAGGGTTGGAATGGAACAACACTAGCAGACTGTAAAGATCCTTCTGTTTTTTCCCCTTTTGTAGGGAGAGCATCTTGTCCCAGATCAGGTGAGTGGAAGAGCTGTTCTGTGCTGCGGTCTCCTCTTTTGGTTAGTGCCCTGATTCCCCAGTCATAGCATCATCCCTTCTGTACTCTGAATGACAACAGCAACAAAATCTCCTCTCACAGGCCCCTTGCAGCCCCCTGCAGGAGCCCCAGGCACCTCCTACTAATTCCTAAGGGAAGCTAGAGAGCTTGAAACACAAGTCAGAAGCGTGGCAATGTACACTACATTTAGGGCTGCATGTCTGTCAACTCCAGTTCTGGTAACTCAAGTCTGGGACCTTGCTGTTTAGAACAGAAGCAGGGGCACGAGCAGACACTCCTTGCTTGACAGCAGCTATGGGGGAGAGCCAGGATTGCCCTAAGAGATGATTGAATCTGTAGGGGAGCTATGTACAATGTACTGGCAAGAGGAGCATGTCCTGCACATCCAGCATGTCTGGCTCTCTTCAGCAGCTGAAGATTTTTGTCTCTCCTCCTGCTACTCATCCCACTCTGCCCATGCAGCTTTTATGCCTGGACAAGTCCAGCTGCTCCTGTCTCATTCACTGCAGTACCTGCCTCAAAGTAGATTGACCCTTATCCCATATGTTGAACTTTGTCCCCCTGGGCATCCTAGTTCACAGGGAAAGGGACAAGGAAGACTTATGATCAGCAAGTCCTGATCAGCAAGGACTTGAAACCCCTAAGGAGCTTTGGTAGATAGAACCGTGCCCCAAATCTTACCCATGATCTTCAAAACTAAGAGAAATGCCCAGTCCCTGGTGACTGCCTGTGATTTGTGGGCATTTGCCCCTGCTTAGTCCCAATAGATGTGCAAACAAGTCTCAGCATAAGTCCCTTTGACACTGCTCTTGTTGAACACAGGCAATTCTGTGCCTCCCCAGGTCTTTTGAATATTCTCAGAAGAATGCAGCCCTGGTCTCTGCGGCTGCCCTGGGGCTTGGAGGGATGCTGCTTTACTGGCTCAGATCTGGACGCAAGATCAAGACTATAGACATGGGTGATGGCTGGTGGGGCTCGGGTGAAAGGCCCCTCAAAGGGAAGGAAGATGCAAGCATCCGTCCCTTCAGGATTGAAACATCTGACAAAGAAATCGAGGTACTGCTGGCTGGGGGGTAAGGAGGGGCAGAAAGCTGCAAGGGGGAGGCAGTCCATCACCCACCTCACTGCTTCGAGGTGATGCCTTGGAGGTGACAGCAGGGCACTTCCTTGTACCAGGGCAGTGACCCAGCTCCATTAGATGATGCTCTGGCTCACCATTCTTTATGAAGGGGACTTGATCTCCGGTCCATTGCAATGTCCCTTAAAGACTTTCTGAGACAACAGCCCCTCCGTGCAAGCTGGGGCTTTTCATGCAGAAGGGCCATGCTTTGAGCAGCAGACTTTGACAGTGGGTCTGTGGATGCTGAAGCAGGGCAGGAGGGCATCAGGACATCAGTGGCACAAGTAGGGCAGGACTGAGGGGCTTCCAAAGAGGAAAGGGCTGTAAGGCTGAAGAGGAATGGCATCTTGACTGAGTCATAGCTCCTCCCTCCCTGCATGCCTGTCTTTATTTACCTGACCAAGTAGCAACCAGCAGCTCAAGGTGAGATTCATATTCTCCCATCCAGCAATGCTGCCAAGCTCCCAGCACAAAAACGCTGAAGTGAGTTAGCAGCAAGCCAGGAGTAGGAGCCAGTACTCTTGGGTGCCCACGGGGAACTTGTAACCTGTAGATGATTGTATTCTCCATATAAACAATTCAGGCGGCCATGTAGAGTATGGCACTTCTTCAGGAGGGCTGGTGGTGTCCCAGACAGCAATACAAAAGGCAGCAGAGCCAGGAGAGCCTGTGCCTGTCAGGGAACATGCCAGCAGCTGGCCAGCCTGGCAAGAAGGGCTCCCTTCCACAGGATCTGCACCGGCGCCTGGATCAGTTCCGCTTCACACCGCACGTGGAAGGAGCCGCCTTCCACTACGGCTTCAACTCCAGCTACCTGCGGAAGGTGGTGGCCTACTGGAGGAATCAGTTTGACTGGCGCAAGCAAGTGGAGGAGCTGAACAAATACCCCCACTTCCACACCACCATTGAAGGTGAGAGGGCTTCTGTGGCTTGAACAGGTCTCAATCAGAAATGCACAGCGAGAAGGGGAGGATGTAAGGAGTGACAATATTTGAGATAACCTATGCGTAACAGCTTAGTGAAATATAACTAGTGGAGGCTTTATTATTAATAACCTTATAGGGACTAAGACCATTACACAGCGGCAACAAGATTAGGTCTGCTTCAGGATGGGCTTCATCTGGTTCTGAACCCATGCTAACTAATGATGAGGTGCTCTTCAGTGATTGCCTTGAAGCCACCTTTGAAAACTGCGAAATTTAGCCAGACTGAGGCTGGAATGTCCAGCCAACAATATCCCAAACACCCAGTAGTTTAGCCAGGTGAGCTTAGCCAGACTTTGCATAAATGATCTCTACATTAGGTTAGCCAGACTTTACATAAGTGATCTCTAGGGTAGACTTATATCATGTTTCTATCTAACATTTTCACTACTGGTTTCTCTTTTAAACACTGCATTGTTTTTGCATGTATCTTACCCATATTATGCTATTCATACAAGTGCAGCTTTACTTATGTACTCTGAGACCAGTTTCTCAGGAGATGGATGCTAATCTCCAGTGACCCAAATATCTGGCTGGGGTCAATATCTCTCTCTGTATGTAAAAGATGAGACAACAGGTAACTATGCCAGGAATCCCCTTTCAGCCTTCTCACAGTGGGCTGGTTGTGGAAATTCTGCTCCAGATGCTAATTACAGTTTTGCTGCCCTCCTTCTACAGAATGCAGAACAGAAACTGTGATGGTCCCAGAGCTTTAATTTTTCTTTCTTGGATGTGTGGCAGGGATTGATATCCATTTTATCCATGTGAAGCCATCCTACGTTCCTCATGGTCGAGCTGTTCAACCTTTGCTGATGGTTCATGGCTGGCCTGGCTCCTTCTATGAGTTCTACAAGATCATCCCTCTGCTCACAGAGCCAGCCAAGCACAGCCTGAATGAGGGTGATGTGGTGTTTGAGGTCATCTGCCCCTCTATCCCAGGATACGGCTTCTCAGAGGCGCCTCACCAGAGAGGTAAGCAATGAAAAGGCTCTGTTGGAACTGCAGTTTTTGGAGTAAAACCTCAGCCATCCCTGGCAGCCCTGGGCACTGCAGTTTGTGAGTGCAGATGCCTGGCCCTTCACTAATGCCCCTGTGGCTGAGGTTCTATGGAGATTTGCAACACAATGGTAACTGGAATTCAGGTCTGAATTCACTTTCCACTGAATTTCTTTCATCTTGTGTTCACTTTCTTTCCAAGGAGTGAGGCAGAGCAGCACTGGACACTCTCCCTTCCCATAGCTCCACACACACGTGCCTCAGTCAGGTCATAATCTTTGGCCAGGGAAGGAACACCAGAACAAACAGGTCTCCTGTGTTTCACTTTACCTACAGAGTTTGACTCCATAGCAACTGCTCGGATATTTCATAAGCTGATGAACAGATTGGGCTTCAAGGAATACTACCTACAGGGAGGAGACTGGGGATCTCGTATTACTACAAACATGGCCCAGATGCTGCCACAGTAAGTAGCAAGGGAAATCAGTGCAGAAAAGCTGCCTCCAATTCCTACCCTACTTTCTGGCTCCCTAATCCTACCTCCTGTTTGCCCAGCTTCTTATCCCCTTCTGCTTTGTTTCTTTCAGGGACAACCCCATCCTGCATATTCAATTGCATTCATATGCTTTGTATTGAATTTTTTATTTTTTAATCATGATGAACCTGAAGGGCTTTGTGTGTTTGATTCAGTCTAGTGTTTATCTCACAACTGCAGTCAGACTTGTTTTCTAGAAAATGTGGAGACAGAAAATTGCTTGATTTAACCCTCTGTTCCTCAACTTACTTTTAGATCTGTGAAAGGGCTTCATCTGAATCTTGTTTTCATCGCCAGACAAGGTTTGGGAAAGTTGATTCGTACAGTGCTTGGGGCTTATGTACCATGGCTTGTAGGCTTCAGTAAGGAAGATGCTCGACGTTTCTACCCTTTCATGCAGAAGAACGTATATGACGTCCTGCGAGAGTCTGGATACTTACACATCCAAGCCACCAAACCAGACACTGCAGGTAAAGTGCCTTCTCTGTATCCTCGTGAACATGGTAAGCACCTGTGGTACATTAAAACAAAGTCCAGCCAAATTTGAGGAGCAAGGAGTTCTGGTGAGCTCTGGTGACTGAGTACAAGACCTGTGTGGGCAATGAGTTCATGGAGAGGAGAACGGTGTAAAATGAAGTTAAAAGGAATCACTCAAAAACAGATGGAGATTTCAAGTATAAATTTTCAAGGTCTTTTAAATAGCATGCCAGTTGTATTGGGAATGAACCCCTTTCCAAAGAGTCTCTCCAAAGTAAAACACAGGGTCCTGAAATTGAAGCTTCAAGAAGTAAATGGGGCTGAAAACAAGAAAAATATCAGAAGTGAGGAGGTGCAATGTGAAAGTTGCAGAAAGGTAGACAAAGCTCAAACACCTGAAAAGGCAGAATGCTGATGTCCTGGTGCCAGTGGATAAGGACTATGAGGACAGATATGGCCATTTCACGATGCTTAAAGGAACTCTTTGCATCAGTCCCCACTAGAGAGGATTCTGGGATATTGCTTTATTGAAATAATCCCTCATCAGGAAAGGCAGCAGAGCTGTCTCAGGCTGGTGTCAGATTTGGAGACCAGAGAAGAAACAGCCCCCCAGCCCAGCAATTCAGCAAAGGAGAAGAAGCAGCTCAAACTGAAATGTCAGCGAATGCCTAGACCATTGCTTGAAGTGACCACAAACCCAAAGAAATAAAAGGAGACAAACAATATACCAGGTGGGAGGGAGTTATGGTGGTTGTGGTGTTTCTAGTTGCTTGGGTGTTTTTAATGGCCAAAAAGTGAAGGTATCCACAGAAAAAATGAAGATTAGTATGTCTAGTCTCTGATCAGGAATTGGACAGAATTGTTTAAACAAAGAGAATTGATTTACATAGGATAATATCACAGGGAAAATCATGCTTCAAGAATCAGAGCTCTGGCAGAATCAGCTGAAGATCCACAAATGTAACTTATATAATTTCCAAAAATATTTTGTTGAGACTCCTCCCCTAGTGTTCTTAAGAAATTGAACTGCCTTAAGAAAAGGATTAAAAATAGTTCACATGAGAATCCAAGCACAGGAGTAAATCAGCAAGTTCCAGGGCAGAGAGAGAATCACAAAAATCTGTGCTGACACCTATACCCTTCAACAGGATCCTAACTTCTCTAAAAATAAAAGTTAATAATTAGATGTAAAACTGACAGCTATCCAAGCTTTGGTTTATAAGTGACTGGTTGATAAAACCAGCCAATAAAAACTGGTATCAACAAAGTTCAAAGCAGTTTAAGTGGAGGAAGAAAATCACAGTGGGTTCAAGTTTGGCTGCTGCTATATGAGAATCAATGAGTCAAGGGCAGTGCTCTCAAAAAATCATCTGGATCAAAGATTAAGACAATTTTTCAAACTCTAAAATAAAATTAAAAGCAAAAACACAGAATCCATGATATTCATGATATTCTGAATCTGTTGCATTCCTGTTAGCCCTGTTTCATAAATATATTTTAGAATCAGAAGAATACATCCCATCCTAAGCAGGACAATGCTCTCAAATATTTTATCTGAAATTTCTTTTCAGAGTGTAATCTTTTTACATCTGAATTTTCTTCTTCTGCCACACATCACCAGGAAGCCAACGCGACTTCCTTAGCTCTCAGCTTTTTTTATATAGGAATTATCTGAATCTGTAGTGCCCTCAGTTACAGCTGGAATTCCTTTGCAGGGAATTTGTCACAAGTACTATAAGGGATAGATAAATACAGACTCTTCACTAAATTCTCTAGAAAACTCTGAATACTTAATGAAAATCCAGTTTAACTTGCACTGAAGTACTGTAATGCCAGGCAACTACAACAGCTCTTCTTTTCTCCTCCATAATTAGGTTGTGGACTGAATGACTCTCCAGTGGGGCTTGCTGCATATATCTTGGAGAAATTCTCAACCTGGACAGACAAATCATTTCTGTATAAAGATGATGGAGGTTTGGAAAGGTAAGAAAACAGATGTTATCCCACGAGAAGTCTCATTAAAAAAATGACTGGTGGGAACTAATACGAAGATACAGGTAAAATACTGGCCCATCAAAGCTGAAATTTAAGAATGAAAGGCTGACATGACAAGCAGTAATTTAAACTTAAAGCAGACTGTCTGCACACTACTGCTTCAGCACCAGGTGGTTTTGCTCTGGACACATAGGTGCCAGTTAATTCACTGCTTGAAAACAGGTGGAGGTAAAGAGGGACAGCAATTCTTCAGGGCATAAGCCCAGTACAGAGCACTGAGCAACAGTTTCCAGTTAAATTTCTTCCTCTCTCTCTCAACAGCAAATACTCTCTTGATGAGCTTTTGACCAATGTGATGATTTATTGGGTGACATCCTCCATTGTGTCCTCAATGCGATACTACAAGGAAAACTTTTCCAAGGACCCTGATCTAAGTGCTCATAACAGGTAATTATGCAGCAAGTTGCAAGGCAGATTTGCAAATGAGGTTGAAACATTTGCCTGATCAACAGTCAGATCATTTACAACAGCAAATATAATTAGTTCTGAGAAAAATAAAAGTCCAGATTCTTACTTGCTTTGGATAAATATAGTTAAGGGTTACTTTTCTTTTGAACCTGTAATGCACACAAGATGGCTTGCAGTCAAGACAATGCAAAAGACTTATCAAAGCACCAAGCAAAGACTGATGTTCAAAATACAAGTCTATGGACTTATTCACCAAACAAATGTGACTTATAGCTCAGTTCAGTAAAAAAAAAACCCAGAAGATCATGGGCACAGCTAAGAGAGAAGTTTAAACTGAATTAGGAAGGCTATTGCTTGCTGGAGGATAAGCTAAGAACTACAAGAGTTAAGCACAAACCTGGATCAGCAATTTAATAAGAGAGGAGTACTTGAAACCCAGCACCTCATGACAGCTGGTACATTAAGAAGATTCTAAGAGAGGCTGACCACAAAACGTTGCTGAGCAGACTTCTCCAAGTGATCATCTAAACAAATGGGGGAGTCTTTTTCTTTGTGGACTGAACCATTAGTCTGAGGATTACTCCTCAGAGAGTAATTTGTTATGCATTTGGTATCAAATTCTAAAGCAAACAGCAGCTAGCTCATTTCTTGAAGAGGTGTGGTATCTTGCCATGTGGCACAACACTTCAGCTTTTATAAGCTGAGGTCAAAGATGGGAAACATTTCAAGACCAACACGTATGCAAAGTTGGCTCTACTTTACACCTCTACAGGTATAATCTTAAACTCTAAATAGAAAGGAAGCTCTTCTGCAGCGTGCAGACCAAGAGGTACACAGCACAAAGCGGGGAAACTTCTCTAGCTGAATGTGTTACGAGAGACAGACGTTTTCATAGACTGCCCCAGCACTTGTTTCATCAATGCAATTAACTTATGTCTTCTAGGGTTGGAGTATATGTTCCCACAGGGATTGCAGCTTTCCCTCAGGAGATTGTACATGTACCACGTGTCTGGGCAAAGGATGTCTACAAGAACATCATCAGTTACTCTTACATGCCACGTGGAGGGCATTTTGCTGCCTTTGAGGAACCAAGGCTCCTGGCACAAGACATCATGCAGTTTGTCCGAAAAGTGGAACAGCTGTGAGCCTCCAGTTGAAATTCATGCATAGAATGGAAGCAAGTTGTTCTACCAATGGCAGAACCTTTAGACTGGATTTGTTTAATCCCTCAAAACAATCACATATAGAAACCAGCATTTTATTTTGACAATAATTACAATACTGATTTTTCTAAATCAAATTCTACATTTACATTAAAAAGAACTCCAAAAAACATCTTGTGTTCTTTTGTTCCCAGCACCGTATCATTGCTGCATTCATAGTTCAAGTATAACAGAATACGTAAACAGTTTATTGCAGTAACAATTGCACTTATCTGAGGGAGAGACATGAAAGTAACTGGTCAAGGCTTTTGTTCAAAAGCCTCTTGAAACACTTGGGCACCTGCATTCTTAAATATGTGTTACAAGCAGCCTTGGAAGTGGAAGCAAAAGGGTTTCGATCTCCTAAGCATAAACACTCCTGCATTCAAGTTATATTTTCTTCAAGAGACCTGAGATTTCATATTCAAGCTTAAGAGGCAGCTACTGCATATTGTAAACATATTAATGGATACTAAAGCAGAGAGAGCACTCTAGTGTTCAAGCTCAGAAACATCAAATTAAGTTCCTACTACTTCTATCACCATTCCATTCCAAAGGTCAAAAAATGCACCAAGTGTAGAGGGTTACTTCAACCTTTATCCTCTTAGGCAAAGGATTTTCACCATCCCACTGTGCATTTTTGACTAGTAACAGCAAGTAGTCTCATGACCAGTAGGCTCACATTTCTCTTCAAATGGGATGGAGTTATTTGAAGCTACTAAAAGCTCTTTACAGCATACATAATTGCCTGACTGAGGACGGCTCCAGCACATATCTAGTTCTAACACAGTGCTCTCGGAGCTTCTCTCCCTGTCCTGTAGCAGACACCAGCCCAGAAAAACAGGCTCAAGTTCTGTTTCTAAGTGATACAATCTGACTAAGAACAGGAACTTGGAATGTAAAGATAATGCTAAACTTGATCACATTCCCCCAACTTCTACACATTTCAGAAACATTTAAGTCTAAGTTTCTTCCTCAAGTGGGAATAACCTTTCATTATTGGGGCAGCACTCTTAACTTTCTTTGAAGAGGCTTAGCAAAGAAACTGCTTATAATCCTACTTATAATATACTTTTAATATATATAATTATACTTTTAATATAATTGCTTATAATATAGCTTTAATCTTATATCTAACCAATTGCCAGGGTTGTTAGGCAAAGATCAGTAAAAAAAAAAAAAAAGAAAAAAAATTGCTTATTGCTACCCTGCCTCCACTGTACCGGTCTCTTAATCTCCAGCACAGCACTACCTATAAGATTTTTCAGTTGATAGAAAATTTTTGGAAGTTTTGGAATGTTAAAGAACAGAAAGTGAGTTATGGGGAAGTGTAATTTTATCAAGTAGATGGGTAAGCACTTGGGTACTCAAGAGGGGCCCACACCACAACTGCTGAGGCCAGGTTGCCGAGGTGGGCCCCTGGAAGCAGCTCCACCCAGCTCCACAGCAGCCCTGGCAGGCTCCAGCCTTTTGCCGAGGAGCTGCTTTCATCCTCCCATATTCTTTGCTAGCTGGAAACAAATACCTCTTCTGCAACAATATTACTTCTGTGTCTCGCTTCAGTTATGCCCTTTGGTTTTCTTGTTATGGGAAGCTTTTTAAGGACTGCAGAAGGTTTTCTTCCCAGAGTTATTTTGCAGGAATCAATTTTACCTAAGATAGCCTATGGGTAACACAGCAAAGGCAGGGTCAGAAAATGGTCATATTAAAACTCAGGAGGAGGTCGTATGCATCCAGCATTTACCAGTTCAGCAAGAACACAGCAAGGGAGTTTTATTCCCAACACATTAATTCATTCCATGCCACAGATCAGGTCCCTAAAGAATCACTGGACCTGTGTGCAACTGTGCATTAAAATGGATTTGCCTTCAACAACAACTAAGGAAATAAGGACAATAGATGAGCACAGCAAGCTACAGGAAGGCAGCAGACACCATGAAGAAAAATACATTCAGACAGACATGGTTCAAAAAGACACAGTTACATTTGCTAAAATTAACACCTAAAAAAAAAACCAGTAATGACTATTCCAACTAAATTTCTACAGAAACAACTCATTCACTAAAGCCTTTGAGGGTCACTGGTGCTTGGAACCAGATATAGTCCTCCCAAGCAGATGCCGTGTGCTGTGGAGGTGAGGCACTAACACGGAGGTCTCCATCACAGGACACCTTAACAGTCAGCTTCCTCCCTCGGGTTGGCACTCGGTAGTTGAGCTTGGGCCGGAACCACTCAACACCACAGTCACGGTGTCCCTGGACCAGGACAAGAGTGCCTGTGATAGGGAGAGCCTTAAGTTCACTGAAGACATCAGCAACAAACAGTCGGTGGAAGAGCTGGCGAACACAGGGTGCAGTCTGGAGGCTCTCTTCAGCCGCTCCCTCGCAGAACCCCTCCAAGTTCAGCTCATAAAGCTCCTTGGGGTTCATGACATTGCCTCCTAGTAGGAAAAGAACTCGAGGAACCAGCGTCAGACTAAATATGATTTCCAGATGTTGGAACAATCCCTCCAGCTCCATCAGCAGCTGCTGGCACTTTCTGCTTGCCAGGCCCAGGGAGAGTGGTTTGTCAGTTCCATCTCCATCCTGGAAAACAAAAACTCAGATTAGTACATTTCATTATGAACATGTATTTGTTATAATATACTCTGCAGAAAGCATGGCCCATCCCAGAGAGTCAAGGAACAAGAGGAGTTCATTTTGAGAGCTACAGGTACCCACTCCATAAAGATGCACATTTCTCTCCACAACAGGAGACGCAAGAGCAGTGCAAAAGTAAAATCTATAGCTAGCCAGTTTGAATCTTAATCACACTACTGATGAATTCCAACAGGAATTAGAAGGCCGTCTTTCAAAGATCAGCCATCACGCTGAAAGCACATCATAGTTTTTGGGGTATTTTTTGCTTAGAGGTTTTCGTTTAACAAACGAAGCAGTGACACGCTTTGAGCAGAAAGTCGGAAACAAGTAAGAGCAATTTGCCGACACCTTCACCCTGAACTTAATGATGCCTTTGCCTTATTTTTAAAAGAACAGGTAACACTTCGGGATGCAGCCACAACAAGCGCTTTACTTTAAAAGCGGCGACACGTTGCAGTGCGAGTCACCGAACGAGAACGCGAGCTCGCAAGCAAAATTCAAACGCCACAGCCCCTCTAATCCTCCGGCCCAGGGGCCGCCTCCGAGCACGGGGATGTCCCCGCCACTCACCTGGGCCGCCCGCCGACAGAAGTAGGAGAGCTGCTCGTAGGGGAGCGGGAGCTGGTTCCGCTGGTGCAGGACGTGCTTCAGGAGCTCGCAGGCGAAGCGGTAGCCGCTGCCTCGGCATACAGCTCCCGAGAACGCCACGGCCACCGCGGGGCTGCCCAGCACCGACCTGTCTTCCTGTGGCTTCATCCTGCCGCTGCCAAGATCCAGAGCCGCCAGCACCTCTGAAAAGGAACCAGAAATGCGCTCCCCCAACGGCCGCCGCGGGTTTAAATGCCGCTGCCGCGGAGCCTCACGGGAGTAGCGCACGGGCCACGCCGCGCGCCCTCCGGCGGTGGAAGAAACGCTGTGATTGGTGGGCGTGCGCGGAGGCGGGGTCTCAGTGTAGCCCCGCCCCTCAGCTCCATCTCCAGACCCCGGGCCGGGGCCGCCCGGCCGATGGCGTGCCGGGAGCTGCGGCTGCTTCTTGCAGGGCTGTCCGCGGAGTGCCGCAGGAAGCGACTCCACTGTCCTCCGCCCCGCTGCCGGCAGCCTTGGCGGCTCCGGTGTCCTGCCGCGGGGAGGTGGAGGAGGCGGGGAGCGTGCAGGGAGTGCTGTGTTTGGAAACAT